GAGCTACTTTGCTGAAACTAGAGAAAGTTACCTTACAGTGACAGAGGGGAACTATCTGACTGTAAATAGTTCCTTAGTGTCTAAACTTGCAGCTTGAGAAAAACTGGATTTGACTTGAGCTCTCAAAAAAACTATAAAGATACCTGCCATTTTCCTTCCAGTCAGACTGAGCTCAAATTCAGGTAAAAGAATTGGAGATTATTATTTCCATGACCTGGTTCTCTCTTCAGCTTTCCGAAAATGAGCGAGTGGAACATCTCTGAAGAAATGTGAAGAAAGAAATAAGGACTTGAAAGAGGATTTTAGGAGCTGTCAAATTTAGTACTAACTGCTATGGCCAATCCAGATCTTCGGAGAAGCTTCAGTTATGGTCTTTTTTTGGTAGACCTACAAATACTGTAACCACGAAGGGGTTCATGTAACTATTAGAATATATCTATTTTTTGAACATGGGTGTTATGTTCTGTTGGTCACACATGGAATTTATATTAGAACTTAGAGAAGCTCTTATATAGGAATAGTTTGACCCCAAATCTCTAGACTTCCTCCTCAGACTTTTGGCAAAATAACCAGTCCTCCCAAATCAATAGTTTTGATAACCAGTCTACTGTCTACTTTTTGAAGTCTGGCAAAATAACCAGTCCTCCCAAATCAATAGTTTTGATAACCAGTCTACTTGTCTTCTACTTTTATTTGAGGTATCAACTGGAATAGAAATTTTCTAACTTTAATTATAACCTGAGTTTTATCAAATAGTCATCCCTCCTGATAGCAGTTTCACTCCAATTTAATATTGGTATTGGAAGATCAGTTTATTTTCCTATTTGGCATGAAATAAATTAATTGAAACTTAAATTATTTAACACTTTTACTTAAATACATTTTTCCAAATAGAGAGCTATCAAATTACTACTAAGTAGTTCATAATAAATACTCACATTTTCACACTTCTGAATGCTAATGACTAACTTTCAATCTTGTTTCCTTTCTGAGCAAATATACAGAAGGCGTGGTACTAACCAAGAATGAATACTTTATCCCAAGAGCTGAAAGCAGACAGAAACCTGGATAACCCTGAGGATGAGAGAAAAACCTGATAGTCTCATTTCTTGACAATTCTGTGTTGTACATGCGAAGATGCTGATGCGTGATTGTGTGCATGCAGATATTGTTGATTATACCATCTATATGTGATTATTTTCTTGCTAAAAGAACAAATACAGTTATAGGTCGTTGGTGACCTCTTTTGTTAGTGTGAGCCTCCACCTGGAAGTTTTTTACTATGTAGCTGTGTTACTGCGCTATAATCCTAAAAGCATGGAAAGGCATAGCCTAGGGCAGATTGCTATTTACAGCTGTGCAGTCTTCTGATGGGCTTTCAGAACTCTGTCAATCATTTTGAAGAGTGTTAAAGTAAATATAACCCACACAGCAAGTTTGGTAATGAACAGTTGCAGGAAGAGAGGAACTGTTACGGCTCTTCCACGCACAGTGATATCTCCATTGGCTGATGGGGTGTGCAGCTAAGCCCTCAGAAAGGTAGGGCTAGAGGTAGGCTAGCACCTTTGTTAAAAAAAAAAAAAAAACAAACCAGAAATGTAGCAAAAATCCTTATAATAAATGATGTTTTGTTCCTCTTGAAATACATATGCTTTGGAGGCTGCTGGTAGCAAAGGCAGACATATATATACCTAAAATGTTTCTTTGATATTCCACTTAGACGTGCATTTGTCAGAGGGCTTAGTTTAGGTATATTATTTATTAAATAAGTCAAACATCACATACTGCAGGAGAAAATCATTGCATTCAAAGAACTGAGGCTTGGGGTATTCAAGGGAGTTTTGATATATGTTAAACATCAAGTGACACCTTTCTTTTGGATGATGGAAAGTTTTGCTAATTGTATTGTGGGCGACTGGAAAGCATATAATTCGGAATATGATTAAACAGTTTCAAATTTTCTTCAGGAGTGACAACTTCCATTTGGGTTAAGGTATTCATCTATTTCATCTTTTCAGTGGCAGTCTTGTTTCCATTTTATTTATTATTTTGAGTTACTAACAACTTTCTTTAATATAGAATGCTGTTTTCTATTTCATTTCATGCTTGCTCTCAGAATTAGTAGGAGAGATGAATTCTTGGAAACTGGGACAAGATGCATGTGAAAGCAGTTGCTCAAAGCTCAAGATGTATCAGAATCAAAATGCAGTGAACATATGTTGAAATCCGGCCTCGTGGGCGAGTGATTAAACAGTATCTTGCAGCAAACTTGCTTTAGTACAACTAAATTTCTGGCTTTGGTGTGAATCCATATTTTTAGGGTTCGTGGCATTAAAAACAAGTATTTATATTATTTCCATATTTGCCACATCACAGAATTAAGCTGTAAAAGGGGAAACATTATGGTGGCCAACATTAGGACAGGTCGCTTAAAGAGGTTGTGGAATCTCCCTCTTTGGAGATAGTTGGATCTAGGCTGGAGATGACCCTGAAGAACATGATCCAGCGTTGGCTTCAAAGCAAGCCTTGCTCTGAGCAGGAGGAAGGACGTGACCTCCTTCATCATTCTGTGATTCTAAACAGCACTGAGAAAATGGCATTAAGTGTTATCTAATAACTGGGAAGAGGCTGCAGATTGCATTTGATGATTTCCTAAAAAAAGCAACAGAAGAAGCATTTTTAGATTTCATCCTCACTTGGGTTTTTTTGGATTACGTATCATGCGAGTTTGAAACTGAATGGCACTGCCTAATGCATACTCCTTATACATCTTCTGGGTAAAAAGAAAAAATAGCTGGTGCTGTTTTTGCAAAGGACGAACCAACTTGAAGCCTGAAGTCTATGTAAAATAATCTAAAGTGTTAGCTAAAATCACTGAAGTCAGCTGAATAGTTCCCAGGAAATTCACTCAGTTGTAGATTTTGTCCTGAATTATAATTTAATTTAATGAGCTAATTTAGAATAATAACTGAACTTAATAAAACCTTTCTATTTTGCAATATGACATAATGTATGGAAAAATGGCTGGATGTCTAAATTACATGCTGTCTTCTTATTAAAAACTGATACCGCTTCATTACCCTTTCTTCCCAAAAACTGACTCAGAACTTGAGAGGTGCGAGCTCACGTTTGCGGATTCAGTTTACAGACAAAACATTTAAAGAGAAGGCTTTTCGTATTGTTCTCATCTGCTTTCACAATCACTTATAAGAAAACCAAGTGGAGGTTTTCCTCTTCTGTTTTGGCACTGTGAAAATATTAATGCAGAAAAGTCAAGCAGCAGAATGAAATTGTCTGGGTTGTGAAGTGAGAAGTGCTGAAGTTTTGGGGTTGTGCGTGTGTGTGTTTTTTCAACCACTTCGAATTAGGTAAGATTTTCAAAGCATCTAAGAGGGAGTGCATCTAAGGGGGAGTTATTTACACACTTCTGCCCAGTCACTCTGTCATTCCTGGGCCGTGAAGATCTCTCTTAGTCCTACACAGATCGAAATATTTCATGTGACGTAGGTTGGGATGGTGTTGCTGTCTCGGCTTGGTGAGAGCTGGTGCTGACTGAATTGATGCCAGTAGCAGAAGAAAAAGGACAAGAGCCAGGGAGTGAAAACAAATGGGCTCCTTTTTATTCCCAGTGAAGGCCTATTTTGGCCATCTGAGGTGGCAATACAGTGGAGTAGCTTTCTTCAGATATAGTCTACAAGGGATAAGCACCTCTACGGAGTCAGTTATTTTTTTATATTACACTTAATTATCGTTCTACTGCTGGTAATTTATCCCCATGGACATGTTAGTATTTGCTGCTTGAGAATGTCTCAGCTGTGAGGCGAGACATCCCTCGGAAGCTAAGCCTCAGTCTCCTGCATGTGAGCTCAGGTGTACCAGAAGCAGGGAGGAGAAAATGAAAAGAAAAGCGGCTCTCTGAATTGAAAAGGGAGCCTTGTAAGCTGGGGTGAGGGTTTGCCTTATCTGCTAGGAACAGGATTTGGGCTCACAGGGCTGTCAGTGCTTTTGCTAAGATTTATTTTTATCAGGTGGCACAAAAGCTTTGATTTTTGTATTGGTTCATAGTAAGCTGAAATCAGAGGTTTTAATACTCAGACACGCTAATGTGGCCTTTTCTTACTTTCAGCGCTAATGCATTTGTCTATCTTTATAGAAAACTAAAATTCAAAACAACTAAAATTGTGCCTTTAAATTTTGGAGGGATTAATTACAGAATTATTTTTTTTAATTCACTAGAGTGATGTTGATTACCTGAGTCAAAGTTTTTTTAACAGAAATGACCATAAAATGTGTTAATGTGTATTGCCATTTTTAATAAGCTAGGATCTTAAGTAAAGGAGTAATTTCCATCCTGCCTCATTGCCAAGGCAATGGGGTTGGTTCATGGGAGTGGATCAACTGGAGGGAAATACTTCCAGGCAAAACCTGGTAAAAAATGAAGTGTTTGCTATTTCAGAATATTTATTTGGGAGACTTTTTCCCAGTTGTGATTTAGCAGAATTTCATTGGTGTCTTTAAAAATATTAGGCCCGTTTCTGAGCAAATTGTCTGATGTTCTAAAGACCATCGTATAAATGCCATCACACCGGCATTAGGCAGTGTGTTAATTTGCATATTTGCATATTTATATCAGGAAGACCTTAATTAGACAATGCATTAGAAATGCACAGGCTGTGTAGCTTCACTATCATACTAACCAAAGGGAGACATTCCTTCCTTATTAAAAGAACGCGAGAAGAGCGACCATTTTAGAGAGAAGCTTCAGTTGTTTTGGCAAACTAATTTGTGGTCTATTTTAAGATGTTTCACTGTGTGCTTTTGCTTTACCACCTTATGAACAGATGAACTAAAATTACCTTTTTTCTTAGGCCTAGAAGTCTGTTGGCTGGTGTTACCTGGTGATGACTTCAGTGTTCGCAACATTACACTTCGTTTATGATAAGGATGTGGTTGAATATAAACACTGTATTTTCACTTCTCCCATTTTGATTTTCTTGTAGACATTTCAGCAGTCTTCTCTACAGCAGAAAAGTAAAAAGAAGAACAAAGGTAAAAATTAAATTTCTTTTCACGTATTGGTAGGAAGGGAATTGCCAACATTAACGTTTATGGTATTGCAGTATCTGAAGAACTAGAACTTGTTAGCTCCAATCCAATGTTTAGTTCAGTTGATCATGTTGAGAAGGTGTTAGTCCATTACTGATCTCTCATAGTTTCCTAATGCTCCTCTACCTGCATATATCTGCTGTTGTCTTTTTTTTGAATACTTAGACTCTAGCCTCTTTGGGGCCAGGGCTGTTTTTTCCAGCTGGGTGCATGTAATGCCTTACTGCAGCCCTTGCTCATTACCTAAGCTGTCAGGTAATTTATATCATAGTAAATTTTCCTCCTTTGATTTAGAAGTACAAAGGCCTTAGGAACTGTTTAGTTGCAAAAGGAGTTGCAAAGAGAGGTTTTTGAATACCCGTGAAGTACTTACTTAGTTGTATTTGGCAGCCAAGTGTGAAAGTAAATGAATTTATATGCTGTGTGCTTTAATCTGATGTGAAATATTAATTTGTTGAAAATTACAAATAACCCCTTTTCTTATTTTTAAATATCTTGCCTTTCTTTTCTCTAATGTCTTCTCTTTCTGTGTTGCTCTTTTTTTTTGTCTTATCCATAGAATATGAGCTCTGTGAGGTGCTGAACATGGTTTGTTTTGGTTTGTTTTGTTTTTTACCTTATGATGCCTTTCATAGACTTTGCGGTCGAAATAGAACGTTTGTAATAATTTATTCATGGCAAATTGAGGTTGAAATTTTTAATAAGTTTTCTTAAGCAAATATATAGTGATTTCTGGCTAGCTGTCTAGTTGATTTAGCGGACAAGTCAAACGCTTTCACATCAACTCGTTGTCATTTTCAGCACCTATTCCTGGTAAAAGCAAAAGACGGATCTCATGTAAAGATCTTGGTCGAGGGGACTGTGAAGGCTGGCTTTGGAAAAAGAAAGATGCCAAGAGTTATTTCTCCCAGAAATGGAAAAAATACTGGTTTGTCCTGAAGGATACATCTCTATATTGGTATATCAATGAAGAGGTAAGCGTCTGTGCTCATTGTCTCGACAAATAGCCTGTGTAGTGCTCTTGTCATAATTTAGTGGGAAACCAGTGCTTTGAGTGCTTATATATGTGAATAACTTTATTCACCCAAATAATCATACTGAAATTAATATTAACTGCCTGACTAAATTACCATTAAGGTCCAGAGTTATTTGGTCCTTCAAATTCACCCTTTACTACGAGGAGAAATAACACACTTTCCTGTGTACTGCTCTCACCAGTTTAGAATAAATCTATCCTCAAACCCTTGAAAGGGAAAAGGTAGTTATTTAATCCTGTCATTCAAGCTTAGTCATGGGAGTGTAAACTTTAATGATGTGCTGCCTGGTGTTCCTTGTTTATCTGTGCTAGTGAAATCACCAAAACTTCTGGCAATTAAGGAAGATGCTTTTGTTTTCTCAGTTGTGTTCTTCTGTCGCTCCTTCTTTCTAGCTTTTGATATGATTTCAGTGCTCATATATGCTGAACTTAAGAGCACCGGAGCAACCCAACTGAACTGTGTACAGCTTTGATTGTGTAACATGTTCTGCATTAGTACACGTTTATTTATATCAGCTTTAGCAAAAAAGCTTTTTGCCAGTGAGTTAGGAAACCTTAATTTTAAACCCTATTAATCTCATTACTAAATATCCTGAGATAAAGTCTTTGCCAACATGTGGATGAACTCAGTCCTGGACTTGTTCTTTTAATCACTGCAAGCATTTGTACATAACCTTTTTAAAATACTGTGATCCCCAACTTTTCCCTGAGTAGACAGAAAGCAAGTTGTTCCATGAACAGAGTTACCGAAGCCTGTTTTCCCACAGACTCATCCCATTTGTGCCTTGATCCCAGCTTCAGATCAGTAGCCCTCCTCTCTATCCTCCCTCCTCAAGGTCTACTACGAGGTCTTCATCAGGCCGTTAATTCATATCTACAAGTATGATGACTGGTCACCAGCCGTCACCAAGGAGCATGTGGAACCACTGAGTTGTGCCTTACTTTCCTATGGAGAGGGCAGTGGTCTGAGCACCTCTGTCTCCCCCTGTCCCAGGTTTCCCTGAGACTTGCTGAGACTCAGTTATTTCTGAGACCTCAGCTCCCTCACCAAAGTGTCTGCAATCACCAATAGATTCAAAAGCTGGCGGGGGGAGCCTCAGTGGCAGATGGACAGACAAGCAAACAGTGCTCTTGCCAAAATTTTGTTTCCTTAGGCAACCATGCAAAAAAGAAATAGCAAGATTATTCTAAACAGTGTCCTTTCAATTTTAAAATAGCTGCTAATGCAGAACCTGTTACAATCTTGTACCTTCCACAGAACAACTCTAATTCTGGTTTTATATTTATTTTTAAGAAAGCATATAGTCATATTGACTGCATATGTAGCATAAATAACCATGGAGATTCTGAGAAAAAGATGTAATTCTGTGGAATTCCTTAACATACATCTGTGTTTTCTGCAGCTTCACTTTCATGATCCTGTATTAATTTCTCATGCAAAGTTATGAGCAGTTAAATAAGAGTCTGTGTTATTGATGTATTAGTGGCTTAAAATAAATAATGCTTTCAAATTGTGAAAAGTCAAGGGAGATTGAATATCTGATAAAATAAACTATGTGCAAGTCTTTAGAGGAGAGGGGAGGAAGGTCAGATGTCTTCTCTCTTGAGTGTTGGGGAGAGATGAAAGTAGCTGAGGAGATATGCCTCTTAGCCGTGATATATAAAGATGGTAAACAGCACACATTGAAATTGTTTTTTTCCCTATTTCTTACAGTAGGCTGCATTTCTCCTTACTAATGAGTCCATCTTCCCCCCAAATTAACTAATTACAATAGCTAATTGCCTGAATACATTTGGTCATTTTGTATATTTTCAAATGCTGGTTCAGCTGTGAAATTGTTTGAGAAAACTGGGTATTTAAAATTGTATTTTCCACCAAGGGATCTGTCTTACTACTTTGGCAAAAGTCCCAGTGACTTCTGTGGTTTGCCAGAGCAGAGCATACATTAGTATTGCTTATGTAAGAAGCAGGCAAGGGAAAATATCTTTCAGTTTGCAGTGTGGTGGGGGTTTTTTCTGACACCTTAACAACAGTAATAGCTAGAACTATCTTTGCAGGATGAAAAAGCGGAAGGATTCATCAGTCTACCTGAATTTAAAATTGATAGAGCCAGTGAATGCCGCAAGAAATAGTAAGTATGCTCAAAAATAATGCAATGATACAATAGAAAAAGTGGAACAAAGGACAAAGTTTTCCCTTAAAACAGTGACATAATGGACTTTGTTACAATGATCGTTTGGTTGTATCACAGAATAAGCTCATACAGAACCGGCAAATTCAGTGTGGTTTCCGTGTGCCATCTTTCCCGTAGAAGGTTTTTTTACTTTATCATGAATCACAGTGCTTGACTGGAGCGAAATGAATTAAGAGCAAGAAGACTGCTTGGCTGCTTCTGTCCCTTTATTTTCCTAGTTTTCCTTTCTTCTTTTGTTTCCTTTCTGTTTTGGGGGGTATTTTTGTTTGTCTGCTGGGGGTTGGAGTGTGTGCGTGTGATACCTTTAAGCTCAATAAAGAGCTTTAAGCATAATAAAGAGACCATCCAAATAAAAAAGTCCCCAAGTTCATGGCCAGGCATCTTAATCTTTAACGTAACTCCAAATAGTTAGCATCATCTGAGTTTGCTGACACAGTGTATCAGTCCTGAGGGAGAGTAAAAAAAGAGAATGACAGTGATTTCCTGTATTTTTGAGGTATGACCTAAAGGTCTCAAATGACTTTTATTCTCACCTAGCTGTGTGTGCTTCTGTCCAGATTTGTGCCATTGCACAAACCCATTTCTTATTTAGATGCAAATTCAAGCGTATGTAGCATTGTGACAGGTGCATACTCCCATAGAGGTATTTTTAGAGTCATTATTGTTGAAAACTTTTTGCCTTGCCTTGTAATGGTTTTTACTGTTCTTTTAAGTTTATCAAGACTTTGGAATCACTGAAATTTGTACAGAAAAGCAATTGCAAAAGTAAAATGGTATGATTTGTAGTACATACAGTTCTAAAGAAGACACTGACCTTGTATCAGTTGGTCTACATATCTCTTCAGGATGAACTCTGCTCTCCATGATGGTCTCAAAGGGCAGAAAATGAAAATTGCATTTAAAAAAAAAAAAGATACATCAGCTTGGGCTTATTGTCCTGTATCCTTGGGCTACATTGCTGAAGTGCTTCATTTTTTCTTTTTTGTTGGGGCAGCAGCATAAAGTCAGCCCATTTCTCAGAATTGCACCCTGCTTAAATTGTTTTTCTTACTTGATTTGGTATCTACTGGATAGTAGAACATAAAATGTGGCTATTAAAATTCCTTGCTTGGGTGGCAGATAAAGAATAAAAACTCTAAGAATCCAGACGACAGATGCTGTAACAATTTTAAGAAGGCAAGCTGGGTCTCAGTAACTTGATGATGTCTTTCTAAACTGAGCAGATGTCACTGTACATCTGCTTTCACTTGCATAACATTGTGTCATGCTCTAATGCGTCAGAGGAATTCTTTTTGTCTCAATTTTACGTTACCTTCACTAGCAGTAACTTTGCTGGATATCCATTTCATATCCCTGGTTTCTTAAAACCTGTTTACATATATGTACACACACAGACATATATGTCAAAAATTGCAAGCATGATACAGATGAAGAACATCATTACCATTTTTCTGAGACACAATGATTAGAGAGTGAGAATTATTTTATTATATTATATATACCTTTTTTTATATATATATAAAATCCATTGTATCTCAGAAAAATGGTGATGATATTCTTCATGTATCATGTTTGCGGTTTTTCTTTTTTTATTAATTACTTTCAGATACTTTTTCTAGATCTTCAAGTACTTCACCATAAATCTTTATCCAACATAGTTAAAAAATTCTTTCTAGTAATTTATTTCATATTATGTATGAAATGCAGTAATTCTCTCGGCCCAGTCATGTTGATTACTTTGGTGGAAAGAAAAGATGAGTTGTAATTGCCCATTGCTTAGAATGACCTCAGGAACGCAATGTTGATTTATAACAGCTTTTCAGAAGTCAATCGGCACATCACATTTTTCTGTTTGAAACGCAGTCATTAGAGCTAGGTAATGTCAAGGTCATTGGGATGTGAGAAATCAGCAGGACTGAGAGTTTTTCTGTTGTATCGAATAAATTGTTCAGTCAATTTTCTGTTCAGAAAAAATTGACACCTATAGGTATATCAGCAAAATTATCTAATACATAAAATTATATCCTTAACTGGTTAACTTTATCCAAATATAGTACACTGCAGGTGATTGTTGAACAATATTTAGGCACATATGAATCAAGCATTATTTAGAAAGGGGTAGTTGAAGAGCACTTTCCTTGGTGAAAACTGGCACAATCCTAAAAGTCGTATGTTTATATACTGTTTGGGGGCATCCAACAACTCAGGAAATCTGAACTCATCTCGTTGGTGACCACACTATCTTACATTAAGAAAAAAAGAGTTGTGCCATTACATTTTTATAATTATGTTTTTCCTCTACAGTGCATTCAAAGCCTGCCATCCTAAGATCAAAAGTTTTTATTTTGCTGCTGAACATCTAGATGATATGAACAGGTAAGGAAATCTAGCAAAGTTCAAGGAACCATTCCTTAAATGTGACACAACTTGGAGCTAGTAACACCGTGATAATCAATTGCGTATTAATCTAAAAAGTTAAGTTTAATAGCTGAGAAAATAAGTGCAGAGTAGCATTGTTTTTGAGTGGCTGCATATGCTAAATTTTCAATTCATGCAAAAATTACTTTTTTTTGAAAGAAAGGTTTGAAGATTTTTAGAAACAAGAGTCCCTCTTTCTAAAAAGAAATAAATACAGTATGTGAAACAACATGCAAACACAATTTCAGAATTCCAGGTTTCTGCTTTTGGCTGTGCAGTATCTCCAACTCTGCTTCCTAACATACTTCCAAAGACATGTGATGCTTGCTCTGGGGATGCTTCTACTTCTGGCCCTGGAGGGAATGAGAAGTTGGAGAAAGATTTAAAGCAGTCACTGATTTTTCTTCTGCCAGTCTTGAAAAAGGAGGTAGAGATTACAAGGAATGAATTTTACAGATTCTCTCTACTGCCATGAATTTAACCTACATGGTGAAGTGAAATTTTGGTTGTATTGAATTTAGTGGGGAAAATTTCAGCAACTCAAAAAGAACAAGGACTTAAGTCTTAGTTCTTTGGGTATTGAGTTTTACTGTCTCTATTTTAGGCCACTTGTGCAGTTTTTTCAGAAAAATGATTGAGACTTCAGCACAAAATAAACACAGTTCCTCTTAATTCATTTGAATGGTAAATTAAAAGCATGGATCTTATTCAAGTATTTGAGGTTTTATTTCATTTCTTTTCACAACATAAACTGAAATTAATTCAGTTCAAAATAATATACCATTTTCATCATATGACAGAGGACACAAACAAAAATCTATTATTGCAACCTGAGAATTGTTCTATCTTAGATAATGTCTATGGACATCCTCGCTGAGCAAAATTGCTTTTAAAACAGAGGAAAAAGGAGATAAAACTCAATCCATAAAACTGTTAGCAGGTGCTATAATCATGGTTTAATCTCTCCCGTGTGTACTAGGTTCAGCTACCTGGCAGAGCACCTTCAGGGTACTGCCAGTTCTTTACTGAGAATATTTGACTGGAAAAGTATGCCGATACTGTACTATGCTTGCTTTCATTTAGAAATAGCTGTCTGTTAACATTTTTTCAAAAGTTCATGCATGACTAAGGCTCACTTCAAAAGTCTCTCCTCAGTTAGAAAACTTAAAACCTTTTTATTTGTTTGTAAAATTTTAGGCTTGCCTTTCCTTGATAATTCTGTCAAGCCAGTCACTCAAAATGCAGTTTGCTGCACAGCAAACAGAATAATGGCATGGTCTATTCGACATATCCTGAACTACAGCAGTAGATAAATAATTTCTGTCAGCAGGTCCTCAGTCAGTATGACAAGGCACCTTGTTTCTAAGGATAAAAATTTATATAACTGTTCAGTAATCAAAAGCAGCAGCAAATACGCATCAATTCTTTAAAAATATATTGCACAGTCTAAAACCCAAGAACTAAAAGATTTTTAACATCCCAGCACAAATAGTCTTTTTATCATATTTTGAAATACGTGCTTATTAATTCATTTAGAATGAGCTTGCCCAAATTTTGATCTGAGTTATACACATGTAAATTTAAAGCAACTCTGTCAAGGTCTATGGAATTACTTGAAATTCTTACCTCTGAGTTGCCATCAGAGTCTCACCAAATAATTTTATTTTTTCTCTTTGTTTAATGTATTAGAAAAAGTAGTTCACTTTCAGAAATCACTGAATTAACTCAATATATTGGAAAAAAAAGTGGGTTACTGAAAAATAATATTCCAAATGCAGAGTAAATAAAATACTTTCTGTCTAAAAGCATTCTGTAGCCTAGCTGAAGTCAAACACAGAATCAAGTTATTAAGTTAAATTAAGACTGTTTTGATCAATTTCTGTTCTTTTTTTTGTCAGGTTTCTGACATACATTTTAATTATGTATCATGCAATCTTTTCAGTTCTGTTTATACTTGAAGCAGAAGAAACGAAAGTAGAAAACTGCTAATACATAGTCTAACTGAAAGTTCAAAATGGTTCAATTCCTTCATCCCTTGTATAAAATGATTTAGTTGGGTTTTTAAAAAAAAAGCGTATGCAGGATATGAAGTTTTTGTTTGTGTGTATCTACTCACATAAAATGGGTATTTTAATCTTAGGTAACTCTGTCACTGTTCAAATTTTCTTACTACTTTTATGACTGTGCCACACCATTATGCTGGGAAGGAGTCTGGAGAACTATGATCACTGAACTTTACTGTTGTGGCATCTGAAGTTCCTTTCATCTGCATGGTTGCACCAGCAAAAGTGTTCTTTCTACCCATATAACATGCTTAGTCTGGGTGAGAAGGACAGAATATCCTTTATTGATGCAAAGTACTGTTTTGCTAGTGTAAGTGTATAGTCATAGAGACATCTTGCTTGGAAATTCATTGTTATTCACATTTCAGGAAAATATTCTGATGTAGAAGGCAGTCCATATGTTTCTACTTGATGATACTATATGAAACTTTATTTTGATTTTCCATAGTAACTGTGCCTGCTGCTTTATGGACTAACTATTTGTTCTTTACTCAAAAATCCTGATCATCAGCTCAGAGGCAAACACATCCTTTTCAGGGTTGGCTGGCTTAAACACTTACAATACTCTTATTCTTCCTTTTCTTTTCCAAACTGTCCATTTTTTAAGTGATGACATATATGGCTGCCAAAATTATATCTTCTAGGCAGGGAAATACAGACAGTAACTTCATGTGGAATATTTGTCTGAGAACTTCCTTGACCTGCTGTAACTGAGCTGTCCTCTTTCTCTTTTTGTGACATCGAATACTGACATTTATGAGAGTTTTCTTCCTCACTGTAGCTCTATGGTCAAGAGGAAAGATGTCAAGTCAGCTTGTAGTATTAGCACATGAGAATGTCTCTGGAAGATTTCAGTGAAGGCGGCCTCTAAAAATTCTCCCACATCATCTACAGGCCTCTTCATTCCGGTTAAACTGCAGTTGGGTACTTACAGGCACTGTAAGGTATCCATATTCCCATATAGCAAATTTGTCCTATATCTTCGAGCTTTATGATTAAGGACAATTTGACACCCTGCTTTGACTAAAAGCATTGCATCTACCTGGAGCATGAGATAAGATAGAAAACTGTTTCCTAGTATTCTGTGAGAGTGCCAGTACTGTGCATTCTTCTTTACAGAAGTAACAGGTCTACAGAAAGATTGGGTTTTTTTAATCCTCTTCTATGTGTCATAAAATTGTTTTAATTAAATACTGACAAGAAATGTATGTGCTATCCTTAAAAAGAAAAAAAAAAACAAAACAAAAAGAAAACCTAGATGACTGCTGCAACTACCAGTGCTACTGTATTTGTTGTCATACCTAACAAGTAGATTTTGTAATTCTCACAAGAAAATTAAAGCTTCATTTGTAGTAAGGAAGGAATATTTTCTTGTCCTCTTGCCCTCTAAAAGTTACAGTGGCTACCAGGACACAGCACACCGCAGGGAAGAAAGATTTAAATCTTAGCATGTCCTAGGGCTTTGTATCTTTTAATATTCATAGTAAGGAATATTTGTATAACTGTATGCTTGGAACTTCTGTCCCCAATGCATTGTAAAGCAGGCATGTTTTACTCCTCTTCCGTTCTGCAGAAGATCTTTATGTTTCCCCGTGATACAAGCCCAGTGCGTTGGATTTCTCATACGATTCTAACTTCAATGACCATAACTCTAGCCATGCTTTATTGAAATAATATTAATTCTCTAACCATACCCATTCTAACCATATCTGAAGAAGCGTTAGCAGCCACATATCAGAAAATATGCAGAAGTCAATACCATTCTTTTAGTTCCTAAACTAGCAAATCGTTCAAAAGCCATAGTTGTTAACGGTTTACAACCACATCAGTACCTTCTCATTCACCCCACAGGCATTGCAGGTGATATTCCAGACCATGACACAGATCATGACCTGCAGAAAATCATTAAATGTGAAGTCAGTCTGCTGTCTCTCTCTCAGACTGGTATACATTTCCTGGGTTCTCATTAGATTATACTTTTCAGGAAATAACATTTTTCTGGAAACAATCAGCTACCATAGCTGTAAGCAGTATCAATTGACTGTCAATTAAGTGTTTGTTAATTTAATTGGTTACCTCACTCTCACGCACACTTAACACGAAATGCAATCGTATCATATTTAGGACAGAATGAAGTTTTCCAACAGGAGAACCTTTATAGGTGTATCATCAAATACTTTCTGGTCAGCAGCCCTATCCAAAGGGGTTCAGTAGGTGGCTCTTCCCTCCTGGCTGCGCTGGGGGGTGTGTAAGCCATGAGCTCAATTAGGAACGTGAAATCCAGAATAGGTGAGAGGCAAGCAAAGGGCCGCCTCCACTGTCTGCCATGCCATTTGACAGAGCAGGCACTTGTCATCTTGTGCTGCTTTACCCTTTGGACACGGACAAGTCTGTGGCCTTTGCTGGTCCCTCGGCAGCACGGGGCTGGAGTGCTTTGGGTGAGGTTCCTGCCTCAGTGCCTCTGACTGGGGCTGGCAGAGCTGTCGAGACAGCTGAGCTTTATTCCCCAAAGAAAGCCTTCACGTATCAGGAATGTGAACCTAAAAGATAGCTTTGTAGTGGGTCACCTTTCTGCTGTGAAGATGTGAAATCATTGTCTGAGACACGATTTGTTGGATTTCTGTTCCAATGTGCCAGTTATTTTTATAAGTGTATGGCACTTCCTAACAATTACAACTGAAATTTCAGCTTCCCTATTCTTCTGGCAGAAATTTTGATTGTATGCTAACATGAAGTATTCTGTAATCACTTCAGGAGATTCTGTCTAGCTTTCTTCCCAATGTACAATGATTTATGGACCATTAACGTGATTTACAGATCATACATGTCACCGTTTGTGGAAGGACAGTGACAGGAGTTAATTTTGAGGAGAGCAGCTGTCTTTTATGATCTGGTGCCTGCTTACCCTGCACTGAAATGCCTTGAAGGCTGGCATGCAGGAGTGATTACAAAGGTGTATCCCTTGCTGAGACAATACTACATCCTGTTTCTGTGCATACAGTATGCAAATGAAACCCGTCAGGCACAGTTTTCTGAAACAGGGGTTTCACATTCCTAAAGAAAATGCAAACCTAATTTCAGTTGTCCTTCTGTATACCCTAGCAGTAAAATTACAGGCCAGTAGGTTGGCAAACTAGGCCTGTCAAATCCTGACTATGGGATGATTGGAGCAAGTAATTCCACGTTTACCATGGAATGGACAACCAGGGGAGATTGCCATGGTGGTTTAAAGCCTTGTTGATGGAGGACCTGATTTAGTGTAAGCATTTAGATAATGAATACACTGAGAGCCCCATGGGGGAAGAGGGCAGGTTGAAGCAGTGCACTGCTACAGGCAGTTGAGTGTATGCTTGGCAGTGACAGCCCTGCTAGAAGAGAATAGCAATAGTTTGGTGGTTTTTTTTTTAATTTGTGCAGTTTATGGAAGCACTTTTTCAAGTCTAAGTTGAGGTTAAAGCCTTAGACGTGAATTGCATTGAGGCAACTGTCTTTTCTCCCCCTGCTTCTCTGACACGAACACAAAAGTGAATTCTCTTATGCCTCCTTCTCTTTGTACTTGGCACTGTAGGTAAGCTCTAAACACATAATGGCATAATTAAACCTCACTGTCTGTTTGGGAGTCAACCTGTTCTTTTTACTGCTGGTTTCTGCTCTGTTCCTCTGCTAAATTGCCAATTCAGGCCTTAAAATATTGCTTAAATCTCTGAAAAGTAGTGTTTATTCTTAAGAAATCAGAACAGCAGGAGTATTGGTGTGATGGCAGATCTGTGAGCAGCAGACTTAATAGCTCTTTGATTATCTCCAAATCCTTTATTTTACAGATGTTTGACATCATACATGGTTTTCCATTTGAAATAAAATCTTTGCTGTGAAAACAATTTGTTCAACAGCAAAATCATAGATCTTTGGAGACTCCCTGAGTAAGAGTATCAAAGAAAACAGCTGTCTAATATGAAAAAGAGCATCGTCCTGAATCTCCTTCAGATGCTCCTAACTTTGTTTTTTGTAGAAATGCACCCAAAAATTAAGAGGCTGGATCGGTATCACTGCTTTTTTAATATTATTTCAGATGGCTAAACAGAATTAACATGCTTGCTGCTGGCTATGCAGAAAGGGAGAGGATCAAACAAGAGCAAGGTAATGTGTTGTTATTTCGGTTTCTTCTGTCGGCTCTTATCACAAGTTCATCTGTTCTTTTTTCCCTGCTGTGTATTAGGCCTCATTCTTGTCATCTGAAAACAATTCACATATGGGTATCACTGTTGTTGCTTTAGAGAATTCCTTCTCTCTCAGGGGTTTTGATTAGCTCCTTCAGATTCTGGTCCATGGACACTGGATTATTTCTGAGAAGGCCGCAGAAGGTAGCTAAAAGCAGCAAATGTACTGCCAGTAAGCTCCAGTATGTGGTACCAAGGAGTCTGTGTTCCCTTATCAGAAGAAACTTAAGAATCTGCGAACTAAAAAAAATTTTTTAAACATTGCATTTGGTGTTTGAATTCACAGGGGACAGGAATGCATGAAATTGGTGTCAGGAACAAAACCATTCTTCTAAAGCCTGTTGACGTAATTGGATTTCCCCTAAAGTCTTTAATTTTAAGGCCATTTAATTTTTTGTGATTTCTGCTGGTTTTGCTATATTGAGGTGTGTGCTAAAGCCCTGTTGGCATTTCATTTGGAGTTGCAGGCTTACAGCATTTTACATCTGCTTATTTTTAATGTCTAATATTTCATGGGTTTAAAAAACCAGCATATATAAAATAATGAGTTGCTTTGCTTTAGTTTGCTGCAGTAGAAATCCTGTTTGCAGACGTGAAAAAGAAAGGGTCAGTCCTCACTGTGTTGGTGAGGTTGTTTCCTAGAATTGCCAGTGACATGGGTCCACAGAAGCGTTCCTATCCATCTAGCTGTTTTGGCAAGCAGCTGGCTTTTGGATCCATGCTCTTTTTTACAGATGTACCTGACAGCAGGCACCGGAAAATTGCAGTGGTCATGATGATCCAGAGCTTATCCAGATGCTCGTCTGCCTGCTGCCCACTGAGTCAAAACCTCACTTTTTGATTCTGTGGCTCTGCAGCCTTCCTTCTAAGGTTCTGTCTTTTGGCCCAAAAAACTTACAGCTCGGAGCTGCAGCAGCAATGTTTTTAATCTAGTCTTTTCTTTACAAAGACTATATTTCCAACCATTTTTCAGGGAGAGTTGTGTTCAAAAGGCTATCCCTAGGCTTCAAAATTTGCCACATGGTGTCCTCCTTGCCCCCCAAAGTCATGGTTCTGTACCAACCTATGTGACAGCAGCCTTAGCCCTGACCTTCTGGTCTGATACCATGAGGAGGAAGATGAACATGGTCTGTCTCTCTGCAACGTGTTACTGCAGTGCTGTTTTCCTGGGAGATACTGTGCAAAAAAACTCCTTTCCCTGGTGAGAAGCAAGGGTGACTTCAGCAGCCAGGTAGAAACACCAAGAGAGTAGGATATTCTGTAGTGGTAGAAGGTTAAAAGACAGCATCAGAAAATTATGTCTGCCTTGATTCATACCCTGATTGCCTCACCACAGAGCATCCTAGAGGGATCAGCCTGGGGTTGAAGAGCAGCGGCTTACAGCATACTGCCGTAATTCGGTGGTAGCAGCGTGCGTGGGAAGGTTTTTGGGCATTTTGCTGTTCTCGCACATAACTAGGTTGTACCTGCTGTTGCCTCATTTCTAATCATGTCTTCCAGTAAGTGCAGCTGCTTATCCTGGGAGTGTTGCCCACACCCTAGTCTGGTATGGTCCTTGGCACATCATGTCGTTTGTAACACCAGGCCCTCCGCATTCACACAGCCCAGCATAGCAGCACCATGCTCACTGTTCCTCCAGTCATGTTCTCAGTGCCTCACCAGACTTCAAAATCAGTTTGGGAATCTGTACTCCCCAGGCAGCACTATAACAACCAGTTTGGAGGAACCTGCATACCATCTGTCACTGCTTGAAGAAGCTGTGAACAAACTCTGAATCTTCGAGTCTTCTAGGAAATCCTCTGTGTTAGCATTCAAAGCCAAATTCAAACTTTTACAGACAGCAGGTTGGCACTAGAATTACAATAACGTGGGACAGTATGGGAAAAGGTGTATGAACAGTCATGCTAACACTGTCCAAGTGCACAATTGCAGACATGATACACCTTTCAAAATCCACATGGATGTGGAGAAATATTTTTGCTACCAAGCAATCGCTGAGTAATAAAATAGCAGATGATCCTGCTCCTAGACATGAGATCATGTGCATTCAGGCCTCATGTTACCTATTATTAAAATGTCTCCCTATTGAAGATAATCACTGAGACCCCACTTACTATGGAAATTATATCCCAGGCACTGACGGAGCTCTTTATTACTGCTCTAATGCCATTCACTCAAATTGATTTATCAAATACAGGCAGGTAAAACTATATCCTCTTTGTGATGCTTAGTTGTGTTTAGTGTGGGAATCAGTATCACATTCCCCCCTCACTGCCGTACAGTGTTTTTATGCCTCTGGTGATTATCCTTGGCTCCCAGCAAAAGGGCTATTAAACAGCTCAGTAGTGTCCCTAATTAGCAGAGGCATCAAGTTAGCAAAGTAAAACCTCTCTATCACTTCAAGCATTTTTGCAGTTATAAAAACTGTGAAGCTGGAATTTTCTATATTCAGTGACTGTAGCAATTGTCATCTACATACCTGATTTTACAAAAGGTCTTTTATTTCTGTTCAGTTCAGCCCTTTGCAGCAAAGCTTTATAATACCTCTGAAACAAATCAACAGTAGTTGTCAAACCTGTTTCAATTAAGAGTTGAATGGTTCTGAATCTAAAGTGCATAAATATATTTCAAGTGCTTCAGAGACGCACGAATCACCGAATTGTGGGTGTACTGCTGAATAAAATGTCACATTCTGTACAGAACAGTTTTATAAAAATACCGTCAACTTTCCATATTAAATACAATGAAAGTTTGCAATATGGCAAGGGACTTCCTTGGATTAGAAGTTATATACTTTCCAGTCATATAAAATCAGAGGAAAAATACTTGCTTATATAAATAGAAAATATTTAATTGGCAAATGGCAGGCCAGTGTTAGTTTATATATAATATATGCAGTCTACTACTCATTCAGAAAGCTTTCAAGATATGCCTGATGCATTGAGCTTGTCCATCACTGAATTGGACAAAATCTGCAGAGAGAAATAGGGCAACTGTTCGATAGCGTTATACACATTTTAGATAGACTAATGAGTCAGTTGCCAAAAGCAGAACATTTTTAAAAATTGGTGGGAGGCTATTTTCATACATTTCATCTGGAAATTGACCCCTGTGACTGCAGAGTTTTTCTAGACAAGCCGTAGGTTGCCAACAGAATTCCCTGTCTGAGGCAAGGTGCGCAAAAGCATAATCATACAGTGTTTTATTGTATGTGGATTTGACAGTAAGAACGTCTTTGTATTTTTAGCCAAAATTGGAACCTGCACTGAGGCTGCTAAATTTTACTTTCAGGATAAACAGTTAAGCTCCAAGTCTGCAGAAATCTCACTGAGTGATGCAATTCTGACAGGCCTCTCACCACACGTCACGCCATTAGGCTTTGCTGTAATAGGAACAAACATGCTTATATACCAAAATTTTCAGGTTTTTGAGTTGCTGGAAACAAGTTTTCTTAAATCAAGGAGTGACTTAAAAAAGAGTTTTCTCTGATTTAGTCTTTCATTCACCAAAAATTCATTATTTGCAGATTTCTAGAGACAAAATTTTCTGGAATTTTTTATTTCATAGTCATGAAAAATTTATTTATGCTATTTATTTACCATTTGAAGAGAATCTCTCATCCATAAGCTTGCAGGAAGCAAATCAAGAGACCCACAGTTAAAACAGAGTTGATACTGCTTGGAAAAAATAAATAGATAAATAAGGCTGCAGCCACCACTACTACAGTCTAAACATATACAGCATTTTAGGGACAGCTGTTTCAAGATGGTGTCTTTGTAAGGTAAGTTTTTGTTTTAAATCTTCGGTAAGATTAGGTACGGTAGATCATTAATCATACAATACAATAATCATCATGGTAACAAAAAATCATTAAAGCCAAAATTACATGTTGTGCCAACCTGGATTTTTGGTTTAGATCGTTTATGAAGCAACAGTCAATCTTTTTCTCTTCATCTATTAAAGAGAAAGTAGTAAGTCATGCAGTTCATTGAACACTTACTAGGCAACATTAAAATTGCCTGTGATTAGTCTGTGAATAGACTGAGCTAAAATGTCCTGTTGTACAGTGATTTACCCAAATACTAGAAGGTAATACAGTCAGAAACAAAGTGACAACAGAAATGTTTGCATAAGTCTTACAATGTGTAGAAACGTTAAAGTTATCCATCTTGAGCTGAGTCAGCAGTTAAGTAGTTTTCTTTTTATATTCTAAGGAATATTAAGGTCCGGTGTCCATTTAGTTAGATGCTGTTCTGCTTCAAAAATATTTGCAACAGAATAAATATAAATTCCCACATGGTACATTCTTCCATATGTTTTCCCCTTTGACCAAGCTACCAAACATATGAAATGTGTTTGGCCAAGACTTGATTTTCTGACAAAATGAAACCTTATATCCCATTAAATTTAGCCACAAGCTCTGTGTCCTTTTTATTTTCTCATCCATCTTTTGGTACTCTGTGCTTAAATATCATTGTCATATTTTTCCTTACCATATCACCTTTGTGTTCTTGCATGGATAACAGGTCAGCATCTGTTTTATGAAGCAGATGTATGATATAAAGTTCTTCTGTCTTATTTAAATGCAGCTGTTTGTTATTAGAAATTGAATTGAAAAGCTTGGGTAACTGATAGTATACCACGGAGAAAACGGGTAGAGAAATAACATTGATTAGTCATGTGTGCAATAACCACTACTTGTTTGATTTGCCAGTTGGTATTAATTACATTTGTTAATGTTATTTGCTGTCAACAAGACTCCTGCAAGTTACTTTTTTCATCCTTTCTATTCAAAAAATACTTTCCGTATTTTCCAGTCAATATATGCCCAATCAAAATTATTTTGATGGCTGTATAAATATTTGAAAATCTGATACTTGTATTAGGAGTATTCTGTATGCATGTTGTATTTATAAGGTGTGAACAAGAGTTAGATTTGTGGCTCTTTTGCAGGTTGTTGTTTAATATCTCTGCAATGGGGCATTAGACTTAGTATACCCTGTAATGTTTTGAATTTTCTTTAGATTAAAGCGATTCCAAATTACAGCAGCTATCGTTTACAGAGTCAGCATTGACCGGTGTTTAACTCTCAGTACTACTAAGGATGGAGTTTCCAGTTGCTTTTGTGAAAGTGAGTCTCTGAGTATCAAAATGTGTTGGTAGTTTTTCATCTGATCTGTATGTAACTTATAGATTACTGGAGTGAGAGTGATAAGGAGGAAGCCGACACTCCATCGACACCCAAACAAGACAGCCCACCACCCCCGTACGACACATACCCACGGCCTCCTTCGGTAGGTCACCTGCAACTGTCTACAGGAATGACTACAGAAAGTGTCACTTTTACCTACTCTTCTGCTTAAAAGCATGTGCATTAGGACACTCTCCAGTACTTTTTTTGAGTCAGTTCTTGACTTAAGGTATTTGTTCAGTACCATGCATCGCTAACGTCAGCAGCCATCATTGCTATTTCCACTGGTGTGTGGAGAACACGGATTTATAATCCCATTTGCTGTACAAAATGGATTAAGTTACAGAATTCTTTCTTCCTGTTCTTCGTTCATGATGGACCCCTACTCATCCATGCAATCCCTCACCGCCCCCTTATCGTCTTCTCTGACAAAATATTGTTACCTCAGTAACAGCACAGACTCTTCTCTAAGGCACAACAGTTGTGCTGTGAAGCTTTACAGTAACAAATTACACTTGAATTTCCACAGAAATGCCAACATAAAAATGTTCTCTCTTATATCCCAAACAGTGATACCAGTTGTTCTGTTGTTGTGAAAAAGTAGGTTTCTGTATAAATTAGAACAAAAGGGGATTTGTTTTTTCTTTCTTTCTTGAAGCAGCTGTTGGTATAAAACCAGAGTATGGGCTTCTTACTCTGTACTGGCAATTTTAATTTTCATGTCCGTACACTCAGACAATATTAACTAATATATGTTACTTGAATATAGTTTTTAAAATGCAAAAAATTTGATTGAAAAATTGGGAAAGTCTGGGGAAAGAGAGTGTTCATGATGTTTAATTTGAATGCAATACTTTATCTTCCAAAATCATAGATCTTTGAACTGCACTGAAGCGCTGCAAAGACGATGCCAAAGAAATTTTTAGCAAGATAGGATGACAACAGGCATTTGGATGGCATTTTTAAGATTTTTAATGGACCAGGCACGTCTCTTCTGTGTCTCCCATAGTGCCATATTCTGCAGTTTTCTGCAAATAATTGTGTTGGCTTATTTTATAGACTGAGGGACATAATAAGGATACTTATTATGACTAAGTATCAGTGTTTGGCCCACAGGTGTGACGTGTGTAGATGTGTGCATGCCTTAAAGTTAGGATCAGGGCAGGTTAATCAGGTAAGTTTGTGCCTTCGTTACTCAACTGGGTGCCGTCAGTGGCAATGAAAAGTATGTGATTATTACTAGCAGTAGGTCTCAGTCTACATTGATCTGAAGATTGCTCCATTGCTGACGTTGTAGATGAGCTGCGCGAGCCCTTACGTGGAGCCAAAACACAGCCGACTCTCGTCCACGGAGACCTCCCAGTCGCAGTCGTCACACGAGGAGTTTCGCCCGGAGGCGGCGGGGGGGGGCACCCGCCTCCCGGGGGGGG